AACTTTTTTCGGTTATAGTAACCTCAAGCAACATTTGCGTTTCAGAGCAACTTTATCTTGATAACACGACCGCTATCGCCATAATTAACCATATGGGTACAAAGTCACTCCCCAAATTGCAACTCCCTCGGTAAATGTATCTGGGAATGGTGTATCGGCCAAACTATTTGGCGGACTGCTGCTCATATCCCGGGAGTTGACAATGCGTTCACATTAAACCTAGCTAAATTCCAGTTCTATGCTTTTCCTCCATTTAGTGTCATAGCAACATTACTACAAAAAATCCAGGAGGAAGGAGCGACAGGGATAGTGGTAGTGCCAGACTGGCCAACACAATCCTGGTACGCCAAGGCCATGCAAATGTGCCAGAAACCTCCCGTACGTGTGGGTCCGGGGGAAAACCTGCTGAAATTGCCAGGCCAACCTCGGGAGTTGCATCCCCTACACAAATTGCTGGTGCTTCTAGTCTGCCACTTATCCGGCAACAGCTAATTGGACAAGGGTTATCGGATGGAACCATTCAAATTATAATGGCATCATTGTGCCAAGCAACCGGAAAACAACATCAGTGTTATCTTTTAAAATGGATTAGCTTTTGCCAAGATAATGGCATAAATATCGAACGAGCCAGCATTCAGCATGGGGTCGAATTTCTTACATTTTTGTACAAACAAGGTCTAGGCTATAGTGCCATTAACACAGCACGGTCTGCACTGATAACACTGGATAGCCAGCGTAAGTTTGGCGAACACCCTTTGATGACCCGGTTTCTCAAAGGTGTATTCAAACTTAAGCCATCCGGTAGTGTGGGACGTGGGCACAGTCCTTAAACACATGCAGTCAATGGCCACAATGGAAGAGCTACCTCTATCAATGTTGACGAAAAAATTAACAACGTTATTGGCTCTTTTAACTGCACAGCGTTGCCAAACTTTATCTAGTTTAGACCTAGATTTCATGCAAGAAATTGATAATGAAATTATTAGGGGTGCAACGGATTTGGAATTTTCAAATCCGGCCGGAACCAGATTTACCGGATTTGGACAAAAATTTGCCAGATTTGAGATAAACCGGTAATGGGGATAATTGGGGATAAATTGGGATAATTCAGTATTCAAAATGGCGGTTTATGTTTTTTACTATTTTTAGTTAGTGTCAGTTTAGATTTTTGATTGTGTTTAAACCTTTTTTAAATATCTTTTTGTTAATAACTTAATATTTTATAGTAGTATAAGTGTTTTTTAAACTTTAAAGCTACCAAATTGATGGTTTATCCCATTCTTGGTGAATTTTTTAAGGTGAAAATAGAAATTTAAATCCGGCCGGATGCCTGAAAATTTGTTAAATCTGGCCGGAGTTGAAATCCGGTGCACCCCTAGAAATCATATTTACAATACGCGAGAAACTAAAAACCACAAAGGAGGGAAAACATCTCCCGCCTATCAAGTTTTAAGCTACCCTGAAGACATCTGTCTCTGCCCTGTCGCACATATCAAATTCTATATTGGTAAAACTAAGCCTATGAGATCTCAATCTAAATTGCTACTAAGCTACATCAAACCGTTTAAACCGCAACTTGCTGACCCTCACAGCTTAGAATTGCGTATAGAATTTTAAAATTAAACGAGACTTACCTGTAAGTTGAAGTTTGATTTGAATTCTATAACGTCATCAGTCAGGAATGAAGGAGGAACATGCCCTCCCTTATGGAGAGTTTTCCCTCCCGATACTCCTTTGTTCCCGTGTGAGAATCAGCAAGTTGGGTACTTTAAAATATGGCTAGGAAAGCGAGCGTGTGCTTCTCATGTTACTCCTTCGTTCCTGACTGATGACGTTATAGAATTCAAATCAAACTTCAACTTACAGGTAAGTCTTGTTTAATTTTAAAATTCTACCAACTTCTGTTGAAACTAGTTTCATATATAAGATCAGGTTTAGAGGTCTGTAACGTTTTCCCTAGAAATTGCATGAGTAAAATCAATTTCATAATTTTTTCCTTGTCTAACGCCAGACACTTTTGCTTGTCAATGGGGAAGCTCTGCAGCTTAACAGGTTAAGAACATTTCTGATATTTGATGCTGCTAATTAATGCATTTTTGGATGAAAATATTTTACACAACGCCTGACACCTAACCCCAATATTTACATGCTGGCCTACCTAGGTAGCCCACCTTGTGCGAAACAAATGACAATTATGTGGGTGAAAAGATTGCATATTTTTTAATAATCCTTTCTTTTTTTTATTTTACGATCTACTACACAATGAGAAAGTCCCTGATTTCTACTGCCAAAGATACAGTTGTAATTTTCTTTGGATTTTGAAGACAGACAATGGAACTTGGCAAAGTTGTAGGCACATTTGTAACAACGTACACATAGGCATATTTGTAACATCGTCCTATGAATTTAATGAAGTAAAGATTAGTTATGTATTAAAAAATGGAATTAACAATTTCTAGGTTCTATAATCACAATCTTATGAGTTCCTACAGTACCTTTCTTCAACAACCAGTTAGCATTTAAAAGAAAAAAAATAGAGAGTATTAAACAGAAATGGGCATGTTCCTGATGGGAGGGTTGTCCAGTAGAATGAAGGGGATGTGCACGGCACATGTTCCGTGCACAACGGCTGCTATCGGCGCACAAATCGGTGCACAACTTACCCAATAATCCCTCTTTGGTGCACACAATTTCCTTCTGTTATTGGTGCACAAACAATTTGGATTTTCACAACGTACATTATCTAGCTATACTATATATTTTTTAACACCTACTAGTACTATTGTGTGTAACAACTAAATAATTGTTGAATTCAGAAATTTTCCTGCTACACACTTCCTACCCCCCCCCCCCCCCAGAATCTTAATTTAGAACATGCACAGGTCATCAGCAGAGCCCACTGGCTATGTGCACAACATGTGGTGCACAACCAAAGTTGCGTTTAAATTTTACGGTGTACAGAAATGTTACATTCCATACTGGAGAGTTGTATAGAGGATCGGAAAAATTACCCCAAACTGAAAGGACATTTTAACATGGGTCACTGCATCTTTTAATACTACACATATGATCAAAATCATTAAATGTACCTTTCTCACTCTTACCTCCTCTTCTTTATCCCCCTTTGCAGAAGGCATGTTATCATCAGGTTGTATTAATAAAATTTATTTTACAGTATAATGCAACCATATCACATATGGTATGTAAATTTGGTTACTGTGAAAATCAAGAAAAATGTTTACTTTGCCACTATAAAAACCATACAGGTATTACTATTAATCATGGAATTTGACATAAAAAGAGTGAAAAAAAACATATGTGGCTTATAATACTGGCTTAAAACTTAGAAGAATATATTTGGAAATAAATTTGTTGCAAATGTTATTGTGTTATTCAAAATTATGGAATATTTCACACGTATATAAACAGACAACCTTGCAAAATAATTCTAGAATCTTAATTGAGACTTAATTTTTCGAGTTGTCACCAACCTAAAAAAGTATAGTGACAGAAGTTGAGTATAATAAGTTGAGTATTCTTAAAACCTCAATACGGGGACTGGAAAGGTGTTTGCTGACAGAAATAAATTAATATTTCCGTACCTTAAAATAAATATGTCACTTCTTGACAGTACTATATCCATGTGTCTAGATTGCACCAAGATGGCGCCTAAATCTAGTGCTGTTCGCATCTTTCTGCTGCTATGGTTGATGAATGAGCGACGTTTTGGTACAGAAACTTGTTTGGCAGATGGTGTTTCAGATTTGGAATGAGTTGATCGAATATCTGGCAATTTTGAATGGGAAATATGTCTTGAACTGTATTGTATACGAAATTCAAATGCAGTTTCTACCAGAAGGCATGTTGGCAGAATTCGTATAACCTCAAATACTCTGAACAAAACATGGACATCTGTCTAACTCAATCCTGGTCCGGTGGAAAAGAAATCAAAGTGTATGGCGTGCAACAAGACAACTGTACAAACGAATCAGATCACCATTGTCTGTGAAAATTGTTCCTCATGTTTTCATGCAAAGTGTGTGGGGCTGACAAAGGAGAACATCCAAAGGTTTAGTAATTCAGTAGAAAAATGGCTATGTATAAATTGTAGTTTACTGCAGTTTAATGATTTTTTTTTTAATCCCCTAATTGTTCGGGAAAATTGCTCAGATATTGAGTCAAACCCAGAAAGGCAGACACATGAAATAGGGGACGCTTTAAGGCAATATGCTACAAAGTACTGTGTTATTGGGAGTCTGAACATAAATAGTATAAATGCAAAGTTTATTGAAGTGAAGGAATGCATAGAAGTATTTGACATCTTGACTATTCAAGAAACAAAAATTGACAAATCATTTCCAGATTCACAGTTTGCTATCAATGGCTACAATTTACAAATGTGATATGTTTAGGTGACTTAAACTGTGACACATTCTTCACCCACTACAAAATGGGGAAGGACGGGCATGGCTTGATATTTGTGATATCTATGATTTACAAAATCTTATAAGCGAACCAACAAGGATATCCTGCACTAAAGAATCGTGTTTTCTATATAATAGCAACAAACGTTTGTGCATTTATATTAAAATCAGGGACAATAGAGACAGGCTTGAGTGATCACAAACTTGTTTACACAGTACTAAATAAAAGGGTAATGAAGCAGAAAGTCACTTACAAAAGGACAAGATGTTTTAAAAATTTTGATAAAGGAACTTTCAATAAAGATCTGGAATGTGTACCATTTAATGTTTCATATATTTTTGATGATGTGAATGATAACTGCTGGGCTTGGGAAAAATGTATTAAGATATACTCAATGAACACGCTCCAGTAAGGTCGAAAAAGTGCAACGATGCCATAGGTAAATCTAAGTTTATTACCCCAAAAATTAGAACATTATAAAACACTTTCCGTGTTGATATCCAGTTATATCAACACAAGTCGAAATTTGGAAAACGAGAAATTGTGTGGGATGAAAGGCGGAGTGGGTTCACACAATTTAGAGTTTTCCCAATTTCCACGAGTGTTGATATCACTGTATATCAATACGGAAAAAGTTTTATATTTTGTTTTATAATATAATAACACAAAGAAACATAAACAAAGAAATTTTCCAACGTTTCCGTGTTGACATGGAGTTATATTAACACGGCTCTTAGCCAATCAGCGTTCAGAATTTACAAATCCAAAAACTCTGTAACCAAAAAACAGTGTTTGTACCTCTTTGAAGTTATAAAATACCTCAGATATGTTTGGGAAATCATGAAGTACAAAAATTACTAATTGAAATATATTATCAAAGGATGAAAAAGGTGAGAAAATTTTTAAAATTTCGGGGTGTTTTTAATTCAGATTTTGACAGCCAACATTTTACAAAAACCTTTTTATTTCACTAATGAAAGCACTGAAAGTCATCAAAATTTTGAATATTCATCAGTCAGGTAAGAATTTTAACTGAAATTCTTTTTGTTTCTGTTGAAAGAACAACAGATTTGTAGCCAAAATTTTGTGTGCACCAATGTAGGTTGCTGTAAAATGTTAGACAGGCGGTTTCTTTTGAAATCTTTTTTTTTTAGCTTGAAATAAGTTCTTTACAAGGACCAATTGTACAAAAATATAATGTATGCTCAAATAAAATGAATAATATTTAGGCATTTTAGAACATTCATTATTGTATGAATAGTTCTATTGTTATAATAAAATACTACTTTTGACTTTGTGTAACAGTGCTTTCTAATTCTTTGACTCATCATATCAAATGCACAATATTAAACTTTTCTAAAAAAATAAACAAAATTTGCAAGTATACTCTCAGGAATTGAAAACATGATAAACTCTCAATTTTTGCCTTTTGAGTTCAGTGGTTACTATAATTATAATTTAAAAAAAACATGTCCAATTTAAAAAACATTTTTGTAGACTTGAGAGTTTTTACCGTTTTGGCACCAATTGTAATTAAATTGAATTAAACTCACCAAATTTCACAGCAATGGGAAAAGTTAGAGGTCCTCAGTGTTGTGCTTTCGGATGTTCCAAACGTAAAAAAGATTTCCTAAGGATAAAGTTCCAGCTTCTTAGTCTGATAAACATCCTTTATAGATTTCCTAAGGATAAATATCCAGCTTCTTCATTGTCCATACCCAGTCTTACTGAGCTAGATCACCATCTTTTTTACTCACCAGTTGGTGAAAATCATGTTCAGTTGATCAAGAGCATCATCAAGAGTTACTGCAAAGTTAATTTTATCATCTTGGAAAGAAGTCCACTGAGAATTCATCTGGAAAAAAATTAAACAAACTTGTACTTTTTAACCACCAGTGATTTATACACAGAATGTATCAGAGGAAGTTAATTATTACTAAAAATTTAGAGTGAAAACCACCCAAGATGAAAGTGCAGACTCAGCTGTCTCAAACATTTTGCTAAATATTTACTATGAAACTGCCCAAGCATAAAGTGCAGACTCTGTCTCAAACATTTTACTAAAGATTTACAGTGAAAATTGTCCAAGCTGAAAGTGCAGACTCTGTCTCAAACATTTTACTAAAGATTTACAGTGACAATGCCCAAGTGCAGACTGTGTCTTAAACATTTTATTGAAGATTTACAGTCAACAATGCCCAAGCTGATAGTGTAGACTCTGTCTCAAACATTTTATTATTAAAAGATTTACAGTGAACAATGCCCAAGTGGAGACTCTGTCTTAATTTAATTAAACATTTTACTAAAGAAGACTCGGTCTTAAAATTTTACAGTATAAACTGCCTTCACTGATAGTCTAAACGTTACTTACTAATTTTTCATTTCCATAAAGTGGTGCCAGAAACCGTAAGAACATGTATATTATACGATATTTCACCAGAGAATCATTCACAGTTTCAATATGCTCTTTACACTTGTATAATTCGAAATTTTTAGCTTTAAAATGCGATTCAAAGACAACAACATTGCCAATTAATGTTTTTCTTGTAACCTTTTCCAAAAAAGCTGCGATTTCAAGGCGAACATATATCTCAAAAAGGTATTTTTAATCCACAAATGCAGAAAAGTATAGTATTTTCTATAGCATTTCATTGATGAGTGGGAACGACCAATATGGCCGCCGTCTATTTTCATGGGGGAAACCGCTGAGATTTTTGGCTTCAGTTTTGTATTCTGAGATGCGCTATCTAGTGTATACGAGATATCTATGGTACACACATGTTTTGAAATTAGATAACATCACTCAGAGTATGCTGTTTTTGCTCCCCAGTCTCCGATGCTAATGGTTGAGTGATGATCTAGAGTCATTAGAACAATGTTAAATTAAATCATTAATTAACGTTAAAAAGGACTAACTTAGATTTTGATGTATTACAGTTGTATTTCACTTAAAAATTCACTGAGATATTAATGTTTAAAATCGGGAGCATATTTCTGGATGTGTCTGAAATATGCAAAAAACGGCGTATAAAATATTAATGAAGATTTGCCCGACAAAAACATGCACTATTACCAGTAAATAAATGACACTTGACAAATTGTTTATTATGAAACAAAGTATTATTATCTACAAAATACAAGCAAGATTTATTCGTCCGGAATCTGTGTGTGTTCCTAGCACAAATAGGCCTAATATTATACACTTAATGTCTGCTCCCGAGGGAAATAGTTAGTTTTGTTTTCCCGAGAATCTCAATGTTTCCCGAGATGAAGTCGAGGGAAACATTAAGATTCGAGGGAAAACAAAACTAACTATTTCCCGAGGGAACAGGCATTAAGTGTTTTGTTATATAGCGACGAACAATCAACTTCAACAACATTCATACAACAATTGGATTTCGTGACAAAAACTCTATAGTGTAAACGAGTTTAAAATGAAAAGAACCTACTTAAACGGTTTCAGCAGCATATCCTGTTGCCTGTTGTGTATTTTTCTTCTCTTTTATATTCTTTATTTGAACACAAACTTGGAAAATCGTAGTTTCCCATTATCTGAGTTGTGCCTCCATTTTGTTTATTTATGTATGTGGCCGGTCGGGGGCGGGCAACAATTTTTCACTTGTTGGCCGGTGGGAAACATTGCATTTATCTGAAGTCACGTGACCACAAATCAGCCAATCATGTTTGGTGTTCACGCTAGCTATATAACAACAGTATTTGTCGACCCAAATGAAGGGTGGCCATATGACAACTATGGACAAACCATTGCGATTTTTCAACATTTTGCTGTTAAATATATCATGTGTGTGGAATTAAGATTTTGATGCATATTCATATATAAATATAGTTCCACCAATTCGAAATAAGACATTTTGAGCTAGTATCGCCATTGCTTCGAAAAAATTGTAAATGTATTTGTAAAAGACAGCAACATTGAAAAACATTTTAGTCACAGTTTATCAATTATGGCAAAAATAGTCAATATAAAACATGGAATGAACCAAAACAAAAATGTGTGTATATTTATTTACATACAACATATCATGTATTATTTTATAGTTCCATGGAATCACATCAAGATTAAAATGTTTTAGAAGCTAGAGAACAATTGCAACTTTATTGTTTTATATAAATGTAGTTGATAATCCATGAATGCTTCAAACTATCTTTAATTGACGTTAAGAGTTACTTATTTCATGAGACCTGTAGTTCTGAATTAGGGCATGCTGTCACAGTGGAATTGTGAAGCTCTTCTAACTTCTGCAACGTCCTGAAATCTTGTTAAGAAACCCAAACTCGTTTGCCTTTTCTTAATCTTGGCAAGTTCAGAATAAACTGAGAATGAAACACAATCAAACCATACAACTCCATAAGACATAACAAGCATCCAACATGCATTTTTGGAACAAAACGTAACAAAATAGTAGCGTTGATACTGTGATATGTATTTGCAAAAAGCAATATTATTTCCTTCATTAAAGAATAATATTCCCCTGCTCTAACCGAGAAATAATCAACTTTGTTTTGAACCCATGAGAAACATAAAAAAATCAGGCTATTTAAGAAAAATTTAAGTGCCCGCCATGCATGGTCTTTCATGTACCTTTAACTTTGTACAGACCTATTAAATACTTGAAATACAGGAAACAATGAGATAAGACTTACTACAAAGATGTCTAAATCTACACCATATCCCTTGCGAACCCTAACGACAATTCACTGAAATACAAGTTAGCCTGATATGTCATTAAGCAAACAAACGCTGGAGTTAATATTTTATATGCCGATTTTCGCTAATTTTAGACACATCCCAAAATATACTCCCGATATCTCCGTGAATTTTTAAGTAAAATACAACTGTAATATATCAAAATCTAAGTTAGTCCTTCCTCTATTTAATGCAAGTTATTTCTGTTTGATAGCTTTACTTGTTTAGAATTTATTATAAATCAAACCGGAGTACTTTTTTTGGGACACCCGGTAGTCTAGGACCTGTATGCATTTCATTTAGGACATAACATCAACTGATTTAAGGCAAGTTGACCATGACGGTAGACATGGTAATGCTGCTTGAACCCCAATCCGGGGCAAAATGTCCGAAACTGACCACACCCAAAAACGACGCTCTCGCCATAGTGCTATCTACTTTGTAGTTGAATCCGATCCTATTTGTGTTTCTTGCAATAAGCCGTGTGGGCACCACTCTTGCAAATCTTGCAAGAAACCTTGCCATGCTATTACCTCTGAGTCTTGCGAAGAAGAAGGCTATGGAGCACAAGTGATTTGCAACAGTTGCAGCGACACAAATTCGACGAAGAAAGGCGCAAAAGTGGGGAAAATAATTGAGGAATCAGGTACACAACTTTTGTATATCCAGTTAATTTTAAGGTGGCTCAATACAGTTTTTAAAAAAATGGAAAATTCACAATTTAGATGCATATTTTTGGACAATCATTACTTGTTGATAAACAAAAAGTACCTTGCTTATATATAGGGGTGCACCGGATTTCAAATCCGGCCGGAATTCCGGCATCTGGCTTCCGGCCGGATTTGGAGAAAATCCGGCCGGATTTAAATTTCTGTTTTCACCTTAAAAAGAGTTCACCAATTAAATATAAACCATCAATTTGGCAGCTTTAAAGTTTAAAAAAACACTTATATTATTATAAAATATTAAGTTATTAACAAAAAGATGTTTAAAAAAGGTTTAAACACAATCAAAAATCTAGACTGACACTAACTAAAAATAGTAAAAAACATAAACCGTCATTTTGAATACTGATTTATCCCCAATTGTCCCCATTACTGGTTTATCTCAAATCCGGCCGGAATTCCGGCTGGAATTTTTGTCCAAATCCGGTAAATCCGATTCCGGCCGGATTTGAAAATTCCAAATCCGGTGCACCCCTACTTATATAAAACAACATCTAAATAGTTTGAATTTTTACACAAAAGTTACGCAACTGCCGTTGCTATGGCAACAATGACGTTTCAAGATGGCGGATACTTTGGCTTTAAAGTGATTTAACTCGTAAACGACATCGGTGACCCCAAAATTTTATTATAAAAAATTATTTCTCTTAGTATAATAAATTATTTTGACTGTCTAAAAAAAATCTGTTTGCAAATTGCAGGTTTACTGTATAAATCATCAATCATTTTAGCCAAAAAATTAAAAGATTTGATAAATGATAATATAAAAAACATTTTCTGATGATAATTTATTACAGTGTAATGTTTTAATATCGCAGTATAGTGTTTTGATCAAACTACCTGTCACTGACAGGTAGTTTTAAGGTCAAACAGCAAACTACCTGTCACTGACAGGCGTCAGCCTTTACTTTGTAATTGGTATTATTTACTAGGGTTTCCTGTGTAAGTGTTCAGCACTAGAAACAAAATGGCGTCTTCATTTTTAAATTAAAAAACAAAATGGCGTCTTCATTTTTAAATTAAAATTGCTAATTTGAAGCATGGCCGAAACACAAAACCTATCAGACCGAGACGAATCCTTTGACTCATCAGATTCAGACAACGAAGATGTGCAGGTACAAGTACAAGATCCAATTTTGACAG